AATTGTTTTTTTAAAGGCGCTCATTTCTGGTTCTCTTTCTTGTCAGACCAGACAAATTTTACCACACAATCATTTGGCATAAGTACTATGGCTCACTAGCAATAGAGGAATTTTTGAAAGAAACTTTCTGCAGAAAATAGAACCGTATCACGGCGATCCGAAGTGAAAGTAACAAAACTTTGATAATCCCTAATGTGTGCTTCACATAAATATTGTGTTACAGTATATCCAAGTGCATGGCTCTGTTTGTTTTTCTTGGTTACTGTTTCATAATAAATAAATTATAATTATTAAAATTAATTAAATAAAAAACCATAACCTGAAAATAAAAAGAAACATTTCTCATATTTCTCATAAACAACATTATTGTTATGTTAATATAATTTGTGAGAAAATACTGCCATTGTCTCAAATTCGAATCGGTTACTTTAACATTTATATGAAAAAAATAGCGGTTTGCATTTCTCTCTCTATTTGCTATAAAGCGTTGATATAAACTGTTATAAATGCCCTTGAAAACTATTAATTCAAGATTCATATTTTGCGTAAATAAATAAATAAAAAGATTCCTCAACTTACTGTCATTAAAGATAACAAAATATTAGCACTATTATTCTTGGTGATTTTTCGATAATTACGTTTGTTCCTCTTTTGAATCTCTGTTAATTAAAATTTACCTTAACAACAGGAATATTTCTCTTTTAAATCTGTATTGTCCACCTGGCTATAGTAGTAAATTCACTATGGATTTTTGCAAACTGTTACTTAGATTAAAATTATATAAAATTATTAAAATAATAAAAAATTATTCTGGTTGCTGGTAATGTTAACATATAACATAAAGTAGACTGGGAAAATGGTTACTTGAAAAATAGTAGCAAATGAAGGAAATTTTCTAAAGTTTTGTACTTATACAGGTGTAGAGCAACTGCAACATGTTAAGATCACCACTATGTATAATACTATATTAGATGTTGTGTTAAGTACTTCTACTTCTTTTGTTGATAGCATTAATGAACCTTTTTGTAATAGTGATCACAATATTATTCATGATTCATTAAAATTAGACCTGTATCTCCCTCGAGATTTTCTAGAAATTACCGTTACTGTAATAATGAAATCCTATCCTCACAAAAATAAACTGGGATTTCTTTATCCAGTTAACTCACTCTATTGAAACGTTAATTTTAAAACAATAATTTTCTTAATAGCACCATTTTATATCTTATAGAGAATATATCCTTTTAAGGAAAATGAGCGTTAAGACAATTCCCATTTCTCCAAAATCTTTTTAAAAAAAGTGTCAAGAACCTTAATAATAAGTACAAATTAGCCAAATTGCCAATGAACATATAGAGAATGCTTTAAAAGTTTCCGTAGCGCTGTTCATAAATACTTTTAGAGCAAAGAAGAGCAATGTCAATAGAGATTTTTTCCGGATTTACATTAAAAGGAAATTTATATGTCCATGTAAACAAATAATTCTACAAAATAATGATAATACGATCTCCTCTGATATCGGTATTGCGAATATATTTAATCGAAAATTCTTTAGTGTATTTGATGATGATAGAACTCGTAGTACTTTTCAATGTAAATTGAATTTGTTGCACTTCTCTTTCTCTGAGGTTGAAAAATTAACTCAAGCTGTCCATTTCGATTCCGGTTCCGATAATATTCCACAAACAATTTATAAAAAATGTGCAGTCTCTCTGAGTCTTCCCCTATTTTTGATTTATAAGGATATTATGAAGTCTGGCCTTAATCCCAAAATTTAGAAATTCTCGTATAATCTTCATAAAAAAGGAAGCACCTATAGGCTTTCTAATTACAGGCCTAAAATGCATTTGTAGCAAGGTACTAGAAAAATTGATTTGCAACAAGTTGCTTATTGCTTGCTTATCTTGAAGCCAATCCTATCAGCATGGCATTTGTACGAAAAATTCTATTTCTTTACAAATATTGGCAAATATTTTGAATAATCAGCATTAATTGATAATGAATTGATAATGATAATGAAAAGCAGTATCAGTCGTGTACCTAGATTTGACCAAAGCTTTTGATTTCCCATAGTAAGTCATTGACCACTCTTGATAGTTATGGCATTACAGGGTATAAGTGGATGTAATGAGTCCCACATATTTCCGATCCTGGAATGATCATGGACCATAGTAAAGAAATTCTCAAACATATTAAAATTTATTTTTCGATCGTTTGTTGAACAATACTGAAGGTTTCCTTATCAAATGTATCAAATGTATAGTGTTCATTCGGCCTCTTCTTCACTACAACGCTACCTGTTACTCCCCGAGATATCGCAAATTAAGGAAATTAATTGAAGGACTCCAAAAATGCGACACCTCTCCACTAATAGCAATTTTAATTATAAAAGAAAACTTCTACAGTACAACCTGGATTCTCTCTTAGTTCGTCAAATTAAACAATATTTAATTTATACTTATAAGATTGTTAACAAATCTTATACAGAATCTTAATAACAACTGTACTTTTTCATAAATCGTCCTTATATCGTCTTTAATTTATTAATTTTTGTCGTATTTTTATTCTTTATCTTTAATTTTCATTATTTGTTAAATGTTCTTATTAAGATTCTGTATAAGATTTGTTAACTGTTGTTATTAAGATTCTGCATAAGATTTGTTAACTGTTGTTATTATGATTCTGTATAAGATTCTGTATGGTTATATTAAACTAGATTGCTAGATTGTTCAAAATATTCTAATTTTAGACCAAATTTGAATCCAACAAGAACTAATGGGTTAAAATTACTAAATCTATCTGCAAAACTAAACTAAGGACTCTTGATTTCCTTATTCGTACTATTAATTATAGTAATAAATTATCGAACAATATAGCTTGTGCGCCATCCTTAGCAATCTTTAAAAAAAGATTAGATAATATCATTTATGATTTATTATACATTCATTTATTATTTAAAAAGTTGGAATCATGCAGGAAGTACAGGAAGTATGAAATCTCGATTTTTAGCATTCGATTATGTATAAGTAATACAATTACTACAATTACTTCGCTTAATTTTCATTATTTGTTAACTGTTGTTATTAATATAAGCATATGGCGTTTGTCACCCTGCTCGGTTGGTTTAATAAATAAATGAATATTCTAGAAAGCAGAAAGACCAAATCCCAAATATCAATACCAAAAAAACCATGTTAGTTTTGTGGTAAAATGTACCATTGCATCAGGAATTGTGATTATCGAAATGCTCGATATGCAATCAAAAAAGTCATAAAGAAAGCTTCTGCAGCTCAAATAATAATAAAAGATCAAAAAGATATTCTCAAAACTAACGGAAACTAAGAAGAAGCGTAAATCAAGTCGAGGGTGAAATTGAAAAATCTAATAATGCTGTATTACACAAAAGTAACAGCCAAATTTGTGAGATCCACAAGATTTGTTGAAATAAACAGATAACGAGTGACCTTTAAGCTGAAAATGGGATCGACCACTAAAATTAAAGAAAGCATACGCAATATCAAGAAATGTAAGCGGTAACATTATTAAAAAAATAGATGGAGAATTCTGATGCCTTCTCAATTTCCAAGATAAAAAAATTATGACATATGTGCCATAAAAGAAATGAATTTTGCTAATAGCCCATGTGTTGCGTCACAAAATGATAATATATAATCAGACTCTGGAACAAGTCCGATTACTTATGACTCATCTCTTTCAAAGAACTGAATTGATAAAAATAGGATAAAACTTTATCTTAAGTAAGGTGGAAAGACTTAGGACCCACGAAATCTTAAATATCAATTCATATGATATGTTTTTTTTAAAGAATACTCTTCCCATGGAGCAGAGGGATTGGCAGAGCTGCTGCAGAGACAGATATTATGTAGCCCAGATATAAATGATTTCTTTTCCTATTAGAAATGGTTCAATATTAAAGTATTGTCTATATGATGTTTATTGGTGCTATATATTTGAGCCCCTACTATTGTAATCGGGGATTGTATATTATTGTTGTAAGGCGATCTTGAGATATGTATTTATAACCTTGTTATATTCTGTAGGATTATTATTATTGTTGTTAGTTATTATTATTTATTGTTATTATTGTTATTATTTATTAATTTTATTATACATTTGGTGCTATTCATTATTATTTGTTATTTTTGCCTATTATTATTATTATTAATTATTATTAGTATTATTGTCAATTAGTATTAATTATTAGTATTATTATTTATTATTATTATTTGTTATTATTGTCAATTATTTTTTATTATTATCGTTATTATTATTATATTGTTATTATTATTTTTATCATTGTTGCGTATAGTATATATAGTATATTATACTATATATACTATATATTATAGTACATCTCAGTAAAATCTTTGTTAACGACTCCAATACGTCACAGCGTCCCCGACATAACAAAATAATTATTACAAATTGCACAAAAAGTTACATATGAAAAAATTGTATCTCACTAAAATTGCTTTGGAAATTTCAAGTATTAATTTTGAATTTAGGCTATTTAAATATTCGAAGTGAAGTGCAATTTTTTACTCTTAAATCCTAAAAAAAATCTGTTTGATGCCATTACTGAAGCAAAAGTTAAAGCAAAAGTGGAAGAAAAAGCTGCCAGCAGAGAAAGGAATATTTCTGAGTTAAAGAATGAAAAAAGATTATCGATGAAATGAAGATAAAGAAAATAATAATGGGGTTTCTTTGGTTTGGGTGTAGCAATGCATAGGTAGCTTTACGTAAGACGATTAGGTCATTTATCAAGAAAATGTTTTACAGGAAAAAATTAAATGTCTTTTGTGTTTTGCAAAGTTGCGTTGATCTCCTGTTTATGCAGTTACAAATGTTTTCTTACTTCTCGATATTTTCCTGCTGCCTATCAAATAATTGCCGCATTATGCGGATTAATGTAGAATCTCACAAAATTTAAGTGAAATTTCGGCTATTTCTGCATAATTTTTTCATTTTGTAAAAATTTTTTATGTACTCATCAAATATTGCAAATAAAAATAGAGTACCTGTCGCAATCCAAGCCTAGGGCTTGGCATTTCTTTCCACGCAATCTCTTCCATTTCAAAGCTGCGTTTCCTAGGTGCGACTCGTCGTGGTGCACCTTCGTTTCTTGACATGAAGCCAACTACAGCTAGTTCTAGAAGTGATAAAAATATGAACATCATCCCACTGAAATTTTAGACTGCATTAAATGTAGAAGTATGAATATAATATAAAAATGAAAAAAAAAAAACGAAAATTGTGCGCGAACAATAGCTCGAAATGCAAGAAGATAATTTTTTAGTTTTACTAATTCGGGCATAACGCGAGCTTTATCCATGCTTATTATATAAAAGACATATCTGGGACCTATCGCAAATTACATTTGGAAAATATTCCTTTTCAAAAAGGTAAAATTTTTTTACCAAAGTTGGCAAATTATTTATTGATAAATATAACATTCACAGCACTAAATTTTTTATTAATCAGTCTGTATTTCGTGTTTCTTATTCATTTAAAAAAAGTTTTAAATAAATTTTTTTTTGATTAATAAACATGATGAGTGCGATATTCTCCATTTTTATCGTTTAATTATCACAAGATGAAAAAATTTGTTTATATTAATTTTAATAAATTTACAAAATGACCTAAGCATCCAAACATCTATAGCTTTAACATAAGATACTCTCGGCAAATTGCGTATAATATTACCGAACTGGAAAGTCATCGCCAATAATGAATTCACTCCAAGCATTGTGCGAGCAGGAATTGCTCTGAAAATAATTTTAATAATTAAATAATAAATATAAATAGTGAAAATAGTCACAAAAATTTGTTTCAATTCCTGATTTTTTTCAATTTTAGCAAAGATTCCAGACAAAACAAAAAAATTGTCAATTTACTAGCATAAAAAAAACCCAACCAACTTCGCAAAATACTAAGGAAACTAGCCTAGATCCTAGATAAAATGATATCCACGAAATGAATATAGTAACATATGTAGGAATATAACCCTGTAGAATATACCAACCATATCTTCGCTTGAATACAAAGGCAACCGTAAGTTCATCCCACCATCCTGCTGGATACATCTAAAAATAGAATTTTTTGTTGGGAAGAAGGCATTATATAACATTGACCATTAAAAAGTGATAATGAATTAATAGTATCAACATTTTAATTACTGAATTAAGAAAATTTTTCATGAATAACAAGATTTTTGAAATATCAAATATCAATTATCAAATTAATTAAAATAAGATGATGTGGTTGATGGAGATTTTAATCTAATATGTACCTGTTCAACTGCAATAACACTAAAATTGGCCAGCTTAAAATCGGGCAATTCTATGTTTTTGAGCAACATCACTGGATAAGGCTGATTCCACGACATTCTCACTTCGCCAGTATTATAGTTGAACCTAAAAAATTTCTGGCTATGTTCCTTGAATAACTTTCTGTTTAAAAAAGATATATGAAAAAAACTTAAAATTTGATTTGATTTTTTATGACAATAATTTTTAACTTCCTTGTTGTCTTTTTTCCTGAAATTCGATAATATTATTTTGTTTAAAAATGAGAAAAACTATGAAAAAAAAGTGATAATACGATTCGAATGTGAGGAAGCATTTTTGTTTGTCGAAGGGGAACCGTTTCAGATTCATATCACATGGACCAGTAAGTTTCATACGATAATTTGTCCATAATGTACCGTTCGAGAAAACCATAAGAAAAACATTCCTAAGATTAATCAGTGCTTTAATGTGCAAAGAAAACTCTTGAGCCAATAAAATAAGAAAACGCTTATTTTGAACGGCGGTTATATTACATTGCTTCCTTCGGGCATATTTTAATTTTCTAAGATTTACGGGTCATTATATGGGTCATTCCAGCTATGAAAAAGAAAGTACAACCTGGTTCTTAAAATTGATTAATCTCATTAAATGCAAATATTATTGATACCGATCGCTAGAAAATAGCAAAAGGCAGATGAATCTTTTCGTATACTAGAATGAAAAAAAAATTATATATCGAACGATTTTAAGTCATTTCGCTGAAATCGCCGTTTTTTGAATATCTTTATAGTCTAACTCAATTTTTATGCTCAATCAATTGATTCAAAGAATTAAAAAATTACAAAAATTATAATTTTAATATTCCAAAGTTTTTGCATAAGAAAACGAATTACCTGAAAGGCGATTCATGTATAGCGGCAGTTTTAGAATTGATGAAACAAGTATTAGGAATCCATAACTTTTGAAGAACTTTATCATCAAATGATATATTTTCTTTACAAGGATTCATAAAATCAAATATGAGAGCTGGATCTTCCCAGAATTCATTTATGTACAAATCTAAAGGCATTTACCTATCATATCGAACTGAAAAATTTGGCTATTAATATCAAAATTGCCGCGTATGATTTCCATTATGCAAAATTTCTCATGAAAAATTCTCCAAAAATTGAAAGAACGAATATAGTTTTACCAATTTCAAAATCCTGCGTTAATTCAGATACTGCAGTTACCTCCTGCACCCACATGTCGACGCGAACATGTACTGGATGGTTAGGGAGGTAATGTTTATTATATGAATCCTAAAGTTTTCTTGAATTAAGTTCATCTTTATTCAATTAACCAGGCCATTAACCATCCTATTACTTACTTTTTTTGTGATTTTACTTATATAATAAACAAGCTTTTTCTCAAGCAGACATAATTAAAAAATATTTTAGGAATGGAAATGTCTTTAACCATTTACAAATCTATAGCTAATAGCAAGAAAATAACAATAAAATAAAAAAATAATAGATAAAAATAGTTTTAAAATTTTTATTTTTTTCTGCTGTTCATGGTTGGATTAGTTTAATTAATTTAAAGCCTTCTTTTCTTTATGTTTTTTTTTAAACATACTTAAATTATTTCATTCAATAAAATGATAATATTAGATATGATACAATAAAATTACAATAGATGCAATAAAATTAGATACAATAAAATATTTATTTTTTTTATATCGAAATTTCTCATTAAAATGGAGAAAACTGTTTCTTTTTCACAGATCTAGTGAAATCTTAATTTTTCCTAACCTTTAAGAGATTATCAATAATCTTCGTATCATTTGCACAGTTCAAAAATTGCTCGCAGCTTCCATACATACTGAGCAAATCGAGAAGAAATGATACCATCAACCATCGGAGATGGCACATCTATAAAATTTTCAATTTCCAAGGAAAAGGGTAGAGGAAACTATTATAGAAGAAAAATATTTATTTCTTTTGTATTTATTTTGTATCAAAATTTTATCAAATTCTTTCATTCGCATAAAAATTATGTTTTATTTTTTTATATGAATCATTTTATATTATTTTTGTTAAATTCGGCTTATTTGCATAAAATTTGTTCAGTTAAAACAGAAAGCACCATATCTTTCCAATGTTTGAAAAAAATTTATATTTTTAAATATATATAGATATATACATAGTGATTGAAAAACAGAAAAATTACCTTAGTACTTCATATACCTCATTGAATGGTCAATGCAATCTTGAGAAGTCCATTTCCGGATTATAAAATTTTTTTGCCATTTTCAACTGGAAAATTGCAATCTTAATGAAATTTTAGTCGTTTTTTATAAAATTATGAATAACATACGAATCATTACAAACAAACAAACAAACGGAACTTTTATTTATAGACTTGTGCATTTGTTACTCACGCAAATTTTAAAAGGAGAATCCATGTAAGATTTATCGATGAATGAGTAATTTGGCTTAAAGGGCAGTAATACACGAAATGCATTGCAATTATTTGGTAGTAACCAAAAACTATTGTAATTTTCTAATGTAAGACTTCAAGATATTTTAAAAGCAAAGAAATTCAAAACAAAATTGTTTGAAAGAATCTCAAAAAAAAATTGAAGGAAAGCCATTCTTTTTTTAAGCTTCTTTTATTTGAACTCCTTTTTAAAACTTTCAAAGGTTGGAATATCCTTCAAATATCGGCAATCTACCGTCATTTATTGCCTTTGCGGCTAATTTTGATTCAATTAACATAGCCATGCTCTGGATCGTGAACAAATACGATGACATTTCGATTTTTGCATGGAGAATCTTTTTGGCATACTGGCCTCCTTCAATCATTTTCATTTTAAATCATTTTTCCTATTATGCCAATATTCACAGTGCAACTGATTGGATTATGAACGCTTGATATACCGGTAGTCAGGAGATATATCAATCAATCGAAGGCATAATACCAGATCTTCGCTGATGGCCTTGTCCTTTTTATTGTTATTTATGAAGAGTTATAAAAGGCGCTTGACATTCTATCGACAAATTCAGCAATCGGATCAATAGGGTCAATAAGACCTTTTCATAATAAGACGATGTAAGACGAAACCCTTCTCATTTTACATGGTAGACACTGATAAAAACTTGTTTTTATCACTTTAACTTATCAACTTATTTTCATCACAAAAAAATTCAGTTGAGGAAATGTCGCTTTAAATATTTTGGACTCACTCTTAAACCAAATCTCTATGGAATCGTCATCACCATTTAAATATAAGTTCGCATCTGTTAGCTGTAATACTATTTTGTTATAAGTGCGGCCAATGAATGTGGAAGGCATTAAGACCTACCTTTGTTCCTTCATGTATTTGTGATATTTTGCAGGTCGAACAAGAGGGTAGAATGTCGCATGACTGCATTCACTTTCATTCGAATGCTAAATGCCATAGTTTCGTCAGAGAAGTCGCAGGGACTCGCTGGATCATATTCTTTACCACCATAATAAAAAATGGCACATATTTCGCTACTTGATGGATGGTGAAAGATGCGAGGATTGCCGGTCAAGGCCTAAACTTATATATAAAACACCATATAAGTGACCCAGCGATATGGGCTTAGATGGTGGAAAAAGGAGTGGCTTCTCAAACTGATATTGGATCGAATGGAAACGAGTTACTCTTGTGACTAGTGGAGCCAGTCCAAGCTCCACTGAGTGCGAGTTGTGAGAAGATTAAAACAAAGAAGCTAATTCATAAGAGATGCCTATGAATTGTATATAATCAGATTTATATAGGCTTGAAGTGCTAATACGGTAAATATTGATATATTCGTCATTTCAGAAAAAATTCAACAAAAGTCGATTGAGAATCTTAGCAAATTTCAATAGAGCTTATCAAACTTTAAATGCAAAACAATTTGTCTTATTTATTAATTGCTAACCTAAATATCAACGAAATACTGTACCGCAATAATGGCACAAAAATTAATCATCAAATCACTTTTTTGTTTAATGAGAAATTCATAAATAAATTAAGGAAAATGAGAAATAATCATGGAAAACCAAATTTATTACTGAAACGATGTCAAACTGATGGATTTCTGTCATACTGTCGTTGGAACTTTATAGAATTTTTAGCAGAGAAGGAGGCATAAAAGTATTTTGCTCATAACATTTGTTCTAATCGAAATGTTCCCTTTGAGAAAAATCGAAATCATGAATCAAATTTAAAGAACGTTGCAACAGAAATGAATAAATGCAGTTGATCGACGTAAGTCTAACTGAGTGTGATGTATATCAAGTAAAATTAGAGTGGCGAAAGATTGATTCCATTAGCAAAAGAATTACTCAAAATTTTTGCGTTTATTTATTTGTTTAGGTAACCTGAAATCTTTTTTTAAAGCTCGCATTGTCTATCTACTTTATTCAAATCAAATGAAAATCAGAAGCAGCAAATTATGAAAAATTTAAATTATGAAAACCAAAATCGTGTGCCATATTATATAACTGAACGGCAATGAATTTATTTTTCTTATGCGAAAATTTTTGCGCTGAGATTTTTACACTTCCGATCTCCTAAATCTGAAGCCTTATCTATCCATGGCAAATGCTAAGAAAATCGATTTTCGGTGTTAAAACATCAATTATTTAGCATGAATTATAAGGAAGAAAAATCACCAAAGAGTAATTTTAAAGATTTACTAAAATATTCATTTGTCTTTTTTTTCGAGATCATTAATTTCAAACTTAATTAACAAAAAGGACATCAATTAAGCCAATTTAAGGCGTAACAGCCTAATTTTATAGAAGCTCATTCGCATTTAAAATAAGTTGCAACCACTCATTTCGCGATAAAAGTTTAAAAAAAATCAAATCTAATATTGTTCGAAGTATGAATAAATCTAATATTGAGCTGCGAATTTGCTTTAATGGAAAATGAAGTTAAGAATTTGATGAGCGTCAAATGAACAATTGATGTTGGTTATCAATTATGCACATACAAACTGTCGGAAAGGTGATAAAAAAATAATTACTTGAAACAACTGATTAAATATTATCAAATGGCCACTATTCAAAAGAATTTTTCTGAATAACCTGGGTTTGTGATGAAAAATCGATGCACATCAGAATTTAAAATGTTGCATCGAAATATTTTAATTATTTAAGAACAAAGGCAAATGGATATTTACATCTTAGTATTTTAAAACCGATAGTTAAAATCGGCTGCAAAAATAGCTAAAATTTGTTCAAATTCTCTAAATTTTTATTTTTCGAATTTAATCGGTGAATTTCACGAACTCTAATAATCGCATGGAAGAAAACAACAATTTAAACAATTATTCAGTCTTTTCTCATCCAAATATCGGCAAGTTTTTGCTAAAAAATATATATATTTTTTGGAATTTATAAAAAAAATTTTAAGAAAATTTGATTTAGGCAAATAAAAAGAACTGCAAAAGAAAAAGGAATGTGGATTTTGATTGAAAACGCACTCAAAATAAAATTATTTATCTAATTTTACCGACATAAAGATCCATCATTTCTCTTATTTAATGCTTCAGCTTACTATTTATTTATGGTGAGCGGTATAGCAATTAGAATAAATAAAGAATTTGGTCTATAATTATGCTTCTTAAAATATTTTATTTGAAATGAGCAACTTAAAACTAATTTTTGAAAAAGTCGACAACATTTGAAGAGCGACTTAACTTCAATCAAAGGAATAGCTATATCGGTAAATTTTTGAATTGCCTCAGCTCATTTAAATTTTGCAAACTAAAAATTTCGACTATCTGCACTGCACATATTTTGTAATAATCACATATTTCTAATAAGAAATTAAAACCTGATAATGAAATTTAAAAATAATTGGGATGATAATGATAAAATAAAACATCCCATAAAAGTTAAGAAAGGTGGAAGAAAAACATATTTTTATAAGGATTAGTTTGAAAGAAAATTTTAGACTAAAATCTTCCATTTTTAGACTTATTTAAGAACTTAAACTTATAACTTATCTTATGAATTAATTTAGAAATTTTAGAAGAAAAAATTACTTGCATATTCTTATTTGATAATATTTGATATTTTGCGAAAAATTCCATAATCTTTGTCACATTATTGATTAAGCCTATGCCACAACTTGTAACAATTAATTCTGCCGAGAAATTCCTAAAATTTTATCTATCTTAAAATACAGGCAATCGGCCAGTTTTACCGAAAAGGGTGACAAATTTCTTGGTGCAGATTTATATATTTTATATCAATTTATATTTAAATTAATAATTCTTGTTTTTTCTAAAAGTTTTATTTTTTACATTGCATAAAAATCCTTAAAATTGTTTCGAGCTGAAAATTTATTGTGCAATTCTTGTTAAAATTATTTGGAGATTATTTTAAAGAATAAAATGGTAAAGTTATAAAAAAAAAGAGCGAAAAAGTGACTGGATACAACATGTAAATCAATGACCAATGTATCGGTAAGTATCGGATAATACTTTTCTAATCGATTTAAATTTTTCCGGTAATTTTTCAAATTATTCTTCATCTTGCAACATCAATTAGATCAAAACAAAGGATAGTTTCGGATCTTTGAATAAAATGCAGTTTGTTTTTTGTTTCTCTTGCAGAAATGAAAATTTTTTCATAAAATAAAATACAATTGTTAAGTGAAAAATCACGGAAAAACACCAATCTGGCTAATTTTTTCACTTTTTAAAGTAACTCAATGATGAAGAAATGCTGAAAATTCGATAAATATCGAAGAAATTTAATTACTGAAAACGCAAAATTCATGAGAGATGAAGCATGCAATCAAGAAAAGCGAATCACATAATATAACAAAGATAAATTGGTAAGCAAAATGAAAACTTCTTGAGACACTAACATAGTGGCTTACATAATACAATTCAACTTATTG